TGGCATTCAGAATTTCCACAATTTGTGACAACTAAGTATATTGAATTTCTATCAAGTTCTACTAATTTCCAATAGTTCCTTTTATTTATGAATTTCTAGTTCATAGGCACCTCATTGTCCCTGAGGAGAGACACTTAGGAATGGGCTGGTGGAAAGGGGCCCCACATAACCTAAAGTAAGACAATGGAATAGGAGTTTTACCAGTGAGAGTAGATACAAAAAGGCACTTCATGTCCTGGTGCTACTTGGTTCTAAGAAGTTACATTTAATCCATGGTGGCTTGGGTTATCTCTCTGAAATTCATATTGATCCCTAGCTGAGTCATAAGGACAAAGAGTGTTCACTTATGGGGAAAGTAGGGATGATACATTGAAATTTCAGAAACATGACAGTGATTTTGGATTTGGTGGAAGATATTTTAATATGATTATATTTCAGGAGATTTTAAAATAAGGCTTCAGATTTCAAACATAGTTCTCAATAAAAATCAATTTGGCATATAGCATGTGCACTTTTTTCCTCTTTAAGACTGCCAGTGTTGGGACCTGCAGTTAGCGTAACGGTTATGTCGCTGAACTCTCATGTAGTCGACCGCAGTTCAATTCCCGGACCTGGTGGCTTAAACTCACACCGGGCACGTGTGCGTGAGTGCCCAAGATCCTGAGAGGAGAAGGGATTGCGGCGTGGCCATCCCCTCTGAGGGGTGATTTCTCGCTTTCTCTCTCTCTCTCTCTCTTTCTGGTGAGCACACGCGCCCTATAGCAAAAACCTCTTAAAAAAAAAAAAAGACTACCAGTGTCTAATTCCTTGGCATTTCACTGCAACGTTGTTCATTCTTGTGTTCATTCAGTCAGTCCTCAAATATCGAATGAACACTCTGTGCAAGGCCCCATGGTAAGCCCTGGGGATAAAAGAGCAACGATGATACATGACCCTGCCCTCAAAAGCTTACAGTCATTACAGGAAGCAGCAAACTTCTTCTGTAAAGGACCAGATAGTAAATACTTTAGACTTTTCAGGCCACAAGGTTTCAGCTGTAACTGTTTGATTCTGCCTTTGTAGCATAAACAATACCTAAATGAACAGGTGTGGCTGTATGCCAGTGCAACTTTATAATAAAGCCATGGACTGAATTAACCTGTAGGTGGTAGTTTGCAGACCTAGCAGATCCTTAGACAATTAAAGAGGAATTGTTTCATTTCTCTTTTGTTAGACAAGTGTTCAGAGCCTGTGGTCAATCAGGTACAGGATGCTATAAAACATATGCAAAGGAGACCTGGGGCATGGGGGGACAATGAATCATCCCTGAGACAGTGATGTTCACCAAGACCTAGAAGATACTAGGAAAATCCAGTAAAGGGTGAGGAGGTGAGTGAAGGGCTAAGTTTGTGAGGAGAATGAAAGAAGGAAGGACTAGAAGGTAGCGTGGCCACAAAAGAGAGAATGAAGGGAGGGAGGAGTGATAAATTCTCATGGTTTGTAACAAGTTTACACCAGAGCCTCCAGTCATAGTTCCTTTCAGAGTCTCCATCCCAATTTCACAATAAAAGTCACTAGAACTGCCACGTAATTATAAGGTAGTTTTGTTTACCTAGTCTTCTTAGGTACCTCCAGCTCCATCATTGTAATCTGTGGGACTCTGGGCTTCTTCAGAGAGTCTGAATGAAATGTGAGTCAGGAGGGATGCAAGGGGCACTTTTCTATGCCTTCTGTTTACTCCGTATTACTAACTGTAAAGGTGGAAGGGAGAATCTTTGACTCTGCTTCTGGTTTAAGAGACCAAGGAGACGAGAAATGCTGTTTGGAAAAATACACACTGGGTAGGAAGGAGGTGACTGTGACCTAGCTCAGTCTGTGAAGTGTCCAGCTGTGCTGTTGGTAGGAGGCTGAGGCTGCAGTACCTTCCCATGCCTGTCTGTCTGAAGCCCCCACCCCTTTAACCCAGCCTTGCTCTCCCATGACCTCCAGCTTAGAGCTGCAGACTACGGGAACCCGTGCTCATTAGCAACTGTGGTGGTCCCTAACTGGAGGAACCATGCTGCTCTGATCATCCATCAGGATATGACACCTTCCCCCTGAAAATCTCTTGTACACAGAGACTGTGGATATAATAGTGCCAGAACTCGGGCACTAAACATAAGTAAACTTCTCAACCGCAAAAATTGAGAAGTAAACTGTCTCACTTCACTGCCTTGGGCAAATCCCTCATTTAAAATTTTCTATTTCTAAAAATGTCTATTCCTCATTTAAAAATTTCTGCTAAGGCTCCATACTCCCACCTGGCCAAACACAGTTCAAGTCCCAGACTGGGCGGCTTGAGGCTCATGCCAGGTGCACTTGCATGCATGCCCTAAAATCTAGGAGGAGAATGGAGGAGAAGGGATTGCAGCATGGCCATTCCCCCTGGGGGATAGTTTCTCACTTTCCCTCTTACTGTCTCTGTCTCTCTGCTGTGCACATGTGCTATATGGTGAAGTTTTATTAAAAAAATTCTGCCCACATTCCTTCCCAGTATTCTGTTGACCTCTTCTTTTTCTTACTGATTTGTTGAGCTTATATGTCATATAAAACCCTTTGTAATTTGATCAAATACTTTTTTATAGTTTGTTTATCTTCTTTAATTTGGGAGGTTTTTTTTCTTTTATAACACTATGCTTTAAATTTTTTAAACAATTCTTTTTATATTTTCCTTTGTAATATTTTATCTGGCTTTTTTATCTTAGAAAAATCTTTCCCCATCCATTAATCAGAGAAAATATTAAATGATCACCTATGTTTTATTAAGAGGGTTTTAAAAAAAACTTTATTTTGAATTGATTTGAGCATATGGTTGACATGAAGACCAATTTTTCCCCCAAGTAATGGTGGCACCAGTTGCTTAACTGTACTTTGTAGTCATTTATAATTTCCTTCTAAGACAAAGGTAGATTGGGTGCTGTGGGAGTCATGAGAATGAAGGAGACAAGTCCCTGTCCCCATGAAAACAGCCTCAGCAATGAAATGCCAGTTTAGAGTGTTTTCACGAACACTCAGCAGATGGCGCCAGGATAGTCAATGACCTCTGGCTGCAGACAGACATTCCCTCACTGTTCCACCAAGAGGCAGGGTCCATCTGACCTGACTCACACAGCTCACCATTCAGCCAGAACCCCCATGCTTTCCCATGCTGATATTCATCTACTAAATTGGCAAGCAGCAAAAACTCGCATACTCACTTAATATGCTACTAACAAGACAATCCTGTTTTCATCCCCAGCAGCTACATGAAGTCATGGTTAAAGTTGTACTTTAACGAATCAGCTCTCTTACATTGACCTGAGGCAATTTCCTAAGGCCTGAGGTCAAAGTCTGAGATTCTCTGAATTTCCCACAAGCTAGGGAAGAGGGGATAAGATGGCAAGACAGTGCAGGAACCTACTGACCTTTGAGACTGGGAGAAGTCATTGGAGATTCATGGTGTGTCCTTTGAAGATCTTCTTAAAGCACAAAGCGATTGTATCTGTGGTCATTTATGGAGAGTCCTGTAGCAAGGCACCGGGAAGATCTGGTTCCTCAAGCACAAGTCTGATGGAAGGAAGTGGTCCTGCATAGCTCTCTGGTTGTTTTTGTGCTAAACGCTACTCCACTGTCTGGGGCTTGATGCAGATCCCATTTAAAACAATACTGTTCATTCTTAAGAAGGAAATCCTACCATCATTCACAGCAATATGGATGAACCTAGAGATCACGATGTTACATGAAATAAGCCAGACAAAAATGATCTTACTTATATATGGAGTCTGAAAGAAGTTGAACTTAGAAAAGCAGAGTTAAGTAATGGTTACCAGAGATGGGTGAGATGGTTGAAAAGAGGGGACGTGTCAGTCCAAGAATGCAAAATTTCAGCAGGGGGAATAATTTCAAGAGATCTATTGTACAATATGGTGGCTATGGTTAACAACAATGTATTCTATACTTGACAATTGCTGAGAATAGGTTTTAAGTGTTCTCACCAAAAAATAACAATACAATATTAATTACTGAGCCATTGTACACTGTGTACTTAACATCAAAACATCTGTTGCATGACATAAATAGATACAGTTTTTAGTTTTCACTTTAAAAAATAAAGGAAAAGGAAGCTGTCACTATTCAGCTATGGAGAACACACCCTTGTGAGGTAGACGAGAGTGTTTGCTGTGGGATCTTTTCCTAGTCAAGGAGACACACTCTGGAAAGGAGATTCTCTTGCATGGTGTCAGACTCAGGCCAAAAGGCAAAAGTGTAAAATTATGTCATCAATTTTTGTTTCGTACACTGTATGGTGCAGCACAAAAATTTTACACACAAGAAGTGACTGGTGTTGATAATTTTCCTTGAGTAGTTGTGTGCTGGACATGCCCCACGAGCAAACATGCAAAAGAAGTAAAGTCATATGGCATTTGTGTCTTTGACAGTTTTATAAAAGAACCTTAGAAGACAGGCTATTTAAGGGTGTGGTTAAAATTACTTATTTATAAGGCTGCTTATAAACCATTAAGAAAGGATGCCACTGGCCAACATGCCTACGTTCCAGAAATCACAGGACATAAAACAAATTAAGTCAAGGTTTATGGCCAGTATAACAGTACGGAGTCTGTATAAATGAGTATTTGCAATCCTTTAAAATATGTGAGAAGCTATTTGCAATTTGTTTTATAATAGAAGCTATTAGTGTGCATTTGCTGACCAACTCTATGTAGCTGTTAGTGTGAAAGTTTCTGAAATGTTTAGATCTATTGCAGACTTCAGGGTGATTAGGAGCCTTACTGGAAAGACATCCACATGTGAATAATCAACATCTTCTCTGCAGAGTTGAAAGGTCTTTGCAATGAGTTGAAAGCAAGGGAAGGAAGGTAGACCAAGTAGTCAAATAGCTGTAGAGAGTGTTCAACTGAATTCCCATTGATGATGTAGCAAGATTTTATGAATTAGAAAATCAGATCACCTGAAATGTGATGTTCTGTTCTTTTTACTTTTAGGAAAAGCTGTGTCTACCCCATCACATCCTTGAAGAGAAAGGCCTGGTCAAAGTGGGCATTACTGTTCAAGCGTTACTAGAAGTCACTGTTGCAAAGACCCTGTTCACATGAAACCAACCCCTTTCCTTTGGGTGGACTCCATCTCTTCTCCCATCAGGGATCCAGAACTCTGCTCCTGGACACCTCGTCCTCTCTCCCACACACTGCCTATCAGCTCCCAACTCTCCTTGCATTGAAAAAGTTTTCCATCTAAGGGAGGATGTTCTACCTTCAGCGCCAACCTCCATTCTTAAGACTTGACAGGTATTTATCCTAAAACTAGTGAGGGAACTGGTGAGGAAGAGCTGAGCACATCCATGCTGCCTTGGACCACCTCCTTCATCCCTTCCATGCTCACCGACTGCCATTATCAAAACACCAAGCACAACCGTTTTACAGCAAGATGTGTTTGTTTTATTAAAGCCAAATTGTTCCTTATTTAGTGGGGGGAAGGGGGACATAATCAGGTTTTTCTCCACCAAATTTTTCAAGACGTTTCTTGAGACCATTGCCTTTTAAAAAACTATTTTCAACATGCAAAAATATTTATATAAATATTATTTATTAGTGAGTTGTTATTCATCCTTTGGATGCAAATTGTAAATTAGGAAACTATTTTATTACTGCTTTTTTGTGGTTAAACACTTTATTTTAATATTATAAATATTGAGTTATTTTCTATCCTCTGGTGTGCAGTAGTTCTAGGTCTCAGTAATCATATTTTCTGGTATATATGATTCAGAAAAAAAAAAAACATTAAAAACAGGTGCTTTTGTGACAACTTTTTCTGGGGAGGCATTATTAACACTTTGGTTTGTGGAACATTGGTGTTATTTATATTTCTGCATTCCATCAGGTTTCCTACATTCCAGCAGCCCTGTTGTCCCCCAATATAATGAACTGACTGTTCAAGAGCACCCCAAAGTTATTTGTAAATAGCTGTGATGGGAAAAAAAAAAGACATATTAAACTTGAAGATAAAATGTGAACAATTATTTTTTTGGATTCATACTTCTTTTGCTATGCACAAAACATTCACGTTTTAACACAAAGAAGTCCTAAGTGTTAGCGTCATGTGGCTTGAAGTATCTTTTGCACTGTAACTTGAGTTACATTGAAGAGAGTATAGCGCCAAAGGTCGATAATGAGGAAATGGTATACGAAAGTGAAGATGATAAAAGGTGTATTGTTTAATAACCAAAAAGTTCTTTAAGGGAAGTTTTGACTGAGTCATCCAAAATTACTTCAGGTACATAGGACCAGGAAACCAGCACTTTTTAACAGTACCAGTTTTAAAAGAGGAAATGATTCTGAGATGTAGGTGTATTCATTATATCGCAGTTTCATTGGTGGTTTAAAAGTAGGCCATAAAATCATGCAAGAGTCCTGGTCACTGGTGTGAAACCTCAGAAGTGAGCCATCAGTGAGCCAGTGGGCAGGCGTGTGCACCACCAGGAGGGACTCAGGAGAAGGTGAGGTAAGTGGGGTTTGTGAGGCTGAGTGGCCACAGAGGACCCAAGTGCAAACAGAATAGGACTAGCAAGAACCAGCAACGGAAAGGAACCGTACTGAACCGAGAGATTCACAGAAGGCTTCACATAAGCAGACAACCTATTTCAGACAGTTCACGCTATACACTCACGCAGCAGTGTCAGATAGCCCAGTAGTTAATCCTTCCAAGTCTTGTGAATGTCGACTATACTTTCACCTCAGTGAAAAGCCATTACTAGTTTTTAGAGCAGTGGCAGCCACACTTTGTAAGAGAAACAGAAAGTTGAACGTAGAAGACAAGCTCCGGGAGAAGGACAGTGTGCATTGAACACAGGCCAACATCAGCTGCCCTCCCCGCTAGGGAAGGCGGGGGGTTTCTGAAAATGGAAATGTGGATTGGCAGCTAGCAATTACTTCCTATCAGATGTACTGTGCACTTTAACCTAACTTAAAATATATTTTAATATTTTCCTGTACTGCACAAATATCTGTTTTGTCAAATAGCATAATGATGTAGAAAAGAAAGACATTTGAACAAAGAGCATATACAATATAAGCGACATTTAAAGGTTGAGTATATAAATAGGAATTTAGACTGCCACACTTTTTCGGGCATTCAGAATGCAGGGTCCTGAAATATGTTTTTACCTGTATATATGGCAACGTGAAGCTCTGTAATCATTGTCTTGAGAGTTTTGAAAGTTAAAATATTTCTTTTGATATTAATTTTCAGTATTTTCTTAAAGTTGGCTGTATAATACAAATGGCTTCAGTATTTTGTAAAATGGCTTTTTTCCTTTTAAATGCAGTTCTTGTATGGCTAAGCTGTCTTCAGAATCCTTGTACACTGTTTATATGTGCAATAAAATGTGCATGGTTGGCTGACAGTACCGTAAGTGGACAGAATGTATATAGTGCAAATATCTTTCCTTTTATTATTTAACAGTCATTAAAACTTTGAATTTGTACAAACCTTCTTCTGATTGACTTAGCCATTTGATTCAAAGGTTGACTGTTGTCACACACACAAAAATTATAGGGTGTCATTTGCCAAAAGAAGTTGTTGCAGTCATTTAGTGTGGACACACATACACGCAGTGTATACAATATCTGTGCATATATGTATATGTGCACAAATCTAGATATCAGAAGTGGGTATGTGTGTGTAAAGAGGAAAATGAAATGTGCACACATACACCTCAGGATCATTTTCTTCCCCTTCCAAACTACAAACTACCAGGAACCACAGACCGTACTGCAAAAGCAGACTTGCCGTGATGGGTGGAGGTGAGGGTGGAGGTGTAGATTCAGACGTCCCTGGTCTCAGTTACATTGTTGACTTCCCTGATTGTCGGGCCATCAGGCTTGAACTGGGCCACTTTGCTGGCTTCCTTGGCTCTCTAGCTTGCAGATGGGCTACTGTGGGACTCAGCCTCTATAATCCCATGAGCCAGTCCCATAAGAGGATAGATCCCCTCTCATCTATGTTCCTGTTGGTTCTGTTTCTCTGGAGATCTCTGACTAATATAAATGGTTACTACCTAACATTGTACAAGGGCTGTATGTATAAAAATGCCTATAAATCTCCAAACCACCTTACGATGCAGCATCTGCAATAATATCCATCTCTTAGGAGAAGTAATTTATTCAAGGTCCCTTGAACACTAAGTGGAATAGTTGGGATTCAGAACTCTTGCAGCCTGTCTCAGAACCTTCACTGTTAACTATTATGCTATAACCTCTTGCTCTACTGCCCAAAGTCGCCGACAGAATATTTAATAACAATGTGAAGAGTACCTAGCTGAAGGCTTTATTTGCATTATCTCATTTGACCTCAATGACCTGAGAGGTAGATCCTATTATCATCCCTCATTTATTAATGTGTGTAATAGGACATTTTAGTGAGGCTCCCTCTATCTCAGTTCTGCCAGAGGATCCAAAATAACAGGCACTCTGTACCACTACCTTCCAAAACAAGGTACTAGACCATCTGCACATAGCAGATGCAAAACCCAATTCTGTCCAACACTGTGAAGAGAACAAGATTTGAGAAGACCAAAAGTTTTCAAGAAAATACGTTGGAGCACTGTGCAGTTCCCTCCCTGCTCTTCCCTGAGGGGAGGGTGCTTTATCTTCCCCTCAAGCCTGGCTAAATGGGCATGGAAGAGACTATTTTGGAAGCCTGGTGTGTGCTGCCTGGAATGTTTGACACACACTTCCGGTATCTGATGCCTTTCTGACAAACCTGATGCTCACCCGAGTTATTGGCCCTCTGTGGAGTGGCAGAGCACAGAGAAGAGATCATAAGAGGAATGAGTTGTGTTTCCTCCCCCCCCCCCCCCCCCGCCAGGGCAAGGCATGGAAGACAGAACACAGGTTTCTCCAGACGACTCTGCAGGAGGGAGCAGCTAAGGTTGCTTTGAATGAGGCTGGAGATGATTTCTTCCTTTTTTTTTTTTTCTTGGAGAGGTTTTTGCTACAGGGTGCGTGTGCTTGCCAGAGAGACAGAGAGAGAGACAGAAAGCGAGAAATCATCCCCCAGGGGGGATGGCCATGCCACAATCCCTTCTCCATTCTCCTCTCAGGATCCTGGGCACGCACGCACACGTGACCGTCTTGAGTTGAAACCACCAGGTCCAGGACTTGAACTGCAGTGACACAGCCATTACACTAACTGCTGGTCCCTAGACATGATTTCTTTAGGGTTGGGCAGATATGACTGCAGCAGAAAGGTCATGGGAGGAAGCTAATTGTGACCAATCTGCACTTTGTGTCATGAGCCAGGACAGAAAGACTGTGTAAGACTGGAATATTTGTGAGATTAATTTCATAGTTAAAAATCACTCTAACATTGGGATAGCCCTGTCTGTATTAGACAGTAAGATATGGGCTAGGTTAAAAGCAAAGAAAACCTGCCCAAAATACCATTAGGAAGCAGGACTCATCAGATTTTCTTCTGAAAGTCTTACAGATTCACAGACTAATCTGTGAAAATTCCATCAGAAGAGTGTTTTTTAAATCAGAACTTACTTTAAGCAGAAAACAGTCTATAGTCCCTCAGGCCTTATTTGAATTAAACTACGTAAATGAGTTATTTGCTATCCATTCTGGAGAACATTATTTTCGGGAGTGCATGATCTAATGTGTTTTTCCTAATCAAAACACTGGGTGGCAATGTCTTTACTGAAAAGATTTCAGAAAAGACAGAAGTACATTTCATTCCTCTGACAATAATAATCCTACTTAACTGGCAAAGACCAGCCTTCAGTTTACCCCCCTCCCCAATCAGCTGTGCTCACTATTACAACTCTAAGAGCAAGGTTTAAATGCGTACATATATACACTTCCCCCAAACCAGAATACTTGAAATGACATCTGGATAAATGGAAAAGAAATGACTCTCACATCATCCAGTTCCTACATCCATGTCTCATTTTTAGTGTTTAAATTTGTTTAATAAAAGACAATGAGATGAAAATGTTAATTTATTTGACTGGTTGACTTTACCATTACCATTATCATCCAAACTAGAAGCGCTAGGATTCTGTTCTTTACATACTACCAAAGCTCATTAACATGTCACCAGACAGGTTGAAAATCTGATGTGAAAGACATACAAGTAAACTTGGAAAGTCAGTGCTCTTGGATTGGAATACGGAACTTAGACCAAATGCTATAAGGGTATAGATTCCTTTCATTTTATCTCTGAAGGCCAAAAGAATATTCTCTGGACAGGCTTGGGTTATTAAAGCATGAGAAGTTTACAAATTATGTGTCCCTGGAAGGAAATATTTCTATTACAACCAGATTAGGTACAGGCAGAGTAAAAATTAATAGCACAACAAATGTGAAGTGTGTTGGTCTTCATAATGCTTTTTTTACTCAAAAATCTAGTTTAAAAAGTTGTGGTATGGCGCCGGGCGCATGTCCGTGTGTGCCCAAGATCCCGAGAGGAGAATGGAGGAGAAGGGATTGCGGCATGGCCATCCCCCCGGGGTGTGTGTGTGTGTGTGTGTGTGTGACTTTTTGCTTTCTGTCTCTGTCTTTCTGGCAAGCGCACGCGCCCTATAGCAAAAA